TTGGATTGGGTTGTGTTGGGGTTGAGTTTGAGGTTGTGGTTGGGATTGAGTTGGGATTGGATTGGGTTGCACTGGGATTGGGGTTGGGGTTGGGATTGAGTTGGGATTGAGTTGGGATTGGATTGGATTGGGATTGGGGTTGGGGTTGGGGTTGTGGTTGGGATTGAGTTGGGATTGGATTGGATTGGGATTGGGGTTGGGGTTGGGGTTTTGGTTGGGATTGAGTTGGGATTGGATTGGATTGGGTTACACTGGGGTTGAAGTTGAGTTGAGATTGAGTTGGGTTGGAGTTGGATTGGTGTTGGGGTTGTAGTTGGGGTCGAGTTTGGGGTTTGGAGTTGGTTTGGGATTGAGTTGGGTTGGCGTTGGACTGAATTGGGGTCGGAGTTGGGTTGGGGTTCAGCTGGGGGGAGCACAGCCAAGGAGGGGTCTCAGGGCACTGCGTGGTGTTCAGGGGGTGCAGGGACCTCCTCCCCACTTACCTCCAGCCCCATGAGGGTCTGCAGTGGGGTAGGCACCTTCAGCCCTCCCCTACCTGTCCCCTGTGCCATCCCGCAGGCAGCAGCCCCCTCCCAACTCCCTGGCAGCCCTTGGAGGGCCCCCCCTTGGCCCTGCTGCCCTCCTGCCCCCCGCTGCACCCAACTGCCCACCTCCATGCTCCCCCCCTACCCCTGACTCTGAGCATGCTGGGCAATGGGGGGTTGCAGCATGGGGCCCCCGGATCGTGCACCAGAGGAGGATGGACACGCATGGATTCACGTTGATCTGAAGACATTGCACCAAAAAGTCACTGTCCTGGCAAGCCCCCACGCTTTGTTCTTTGCTCTAAATAAAAAGTTTTGGGGTTTTGTTTCTGTAGAAATGTAATTTAATGATAGAACCACGGCCAACTCCTCCACTGCCAGCAAAGAGCCTTGTTTTATTTGAGGGAGATTGACACCGGTGTCCAGAGGGGGGCTTTGTATGCAGGAAAAAATGCTTCTTGTGAGCAAAAACTGTTCTATGGGGACCTCTAAGCAAAAAAAAAACCACCATCCCAGGAGCACACAGCCCTGATATCCCAATCGTTCCGCCATGCAAAAAAAACAGGATTGTTCCCTTCCCATTTTCCTCAGCATCTGAGTTCAGTCCTGAGATCACAGAACCATGGAATGGATGGGATTGGGATTGGGCTGGGATTGAGATGGGTTGAGTTGAGTTGGGGTTGGGGTGGGGTTGGGGTTGGATTGGCGTTGGGGTTGGGGTTAGAGTTGGGATTTAGTTGGGGTTGGGGTTAGGGTTGGGATTAAGTTGGGGTTGGGGTTGAGTTGGGGTTGGGTTGACGTTGTGATTGAGTTGGGGTTGGGGTTGGATTAGGGTTGGTGTTGGGTTGGGGTTGGGTTGAGATTGAGTTGGGGTTGGGGGTTAGGTTGGCATTGGGGTTGAGTTAGGGCTGGGATTGAGTTGGGGCTGGGGCTGGGATTGGGTTGGGATTGAGTTGGGGTTGGATTAGGGTTGGGGTTGGTTTGGGATTGGGGTTGAGTTAGGGTTAGGGTTGGGATTGAGTTGGGGTTGGGGTTGGGGTTGGTTTGGGGGTTGGGTTGGTGTTGGTGTTGGGTTAGGGTTGGGATTGAGTTGAGTTTGAGGTAGGGTTGGGTTGCATTGGGGTTGGGGTTGTGCTTGGGATTGAGTTGGGTTGGAGTTGGATTGGTGTTGGGGTTGGAGTTGGGTTGGGGTTTAGTTTTGGGGTTTGGAGTTGGGTTGGATTCAGATGGGGTCAGAGTTGGGTTGGGGTTGGGTTGGGGCTGGGGTTTGGGCTGGGATTGATTTTAGGTTGGAGTTGGAGTTGGGGTTGGGTTGGAGTTGGATTGAATTGGCGTTGGGATTAGGCTGGGTTGCACTGGGTTGGGATTGAGTTTGGGTTGGGGTTGGGTTGGGGTTGAGTTAGGGTTCAGTTGGGGTTGGAGTAGGGTTGGGGTTGGAGTTCAGAGTTGGGTTGGGTTTGAGTCGGGGTTGTGTTGAAGTTGGGATTGGGGTTGGGTTGCATTGGTTTGGGGATGGGGTTAGTGTTGGGCTGGAGTTGGGGTTGGGATTGGGATTGAGTTGGGTTGAAGTTGGAGTGGTGTTGGGGTAGGTCTGGAATTTTGATGGGGTTGTGTCGTATTGGGGTTGGGTTGGAGATAAGAGTTGGGTTGGATTGCATTGGGTTGTGTTGGGTTGGATTGGTTTGGGACCGTGTTGGGTTGGGGTTGGATTGAATTGGGGTTGGGGTTGAGTTACACTGTGTTGGAGTCGGGTTGGGGTTGGGTTTGGAGCTGGATTAGGATTGAGTTGGGGTTGTGTTGAGGTTGGGGTTGGGTTGCATTTGGTTGAGTAGGGTTGGAGTTGGGGTTGGATTGGATTTGGGGTTGAGCTGGGGTTGGGATTGGGTTTGGGTTTGGGGTTGGGGTTGGGGTTGGGGCTGGGTTGGGTTTGGGGTTGTGTTGGGATTGGGTTGGGGTTGTGTTGCGCTGTGTTGGGGTTGGGTTGGGGTCGGGGGCTGGGTTGTGGTTGAGTTGAAAGGATCTTTAAAGATCATAGAGCCATAGGATTGTTGAGTTGGATGAGTTCTTGAAATCATAGAATGCTTGGGTTGGAAGGGACCCCAAATACCCCACCACCACCACCTCTTGCCGTGGTCTGAGTGCCCACCACCAGATCAGGATGCCCGGGGCCCCATCCAGCTCTATTCCTGTTTATCAATTCCCTTCAGGAGCCAGAGAGGGGTTGGGATTGGGGATGGGATGGGGATAAGAATGGGATGGGGATGGAGAGGTCTGCATGAGGACAGTGATGGGGGCAGCGTTTGGGCACGGGGTTGGGAGTCCAGAATGCATTTTCATACACAGGTCTTCAAAAGTACTTAAAAACTTAACTGCCTGAATAATAATAATAATAATAATAATAATAATAACAACAACAATAATAATAATAATAATAATAATGCAAGGGATGTAAAACACCTTCAGCTCTTCCAGTCAATATGGTGGGGATCGTGGCTGCTCGTGCTCCTTCCTCAGAGGATTCTCTCTCTGAGGATTCCTCTGGCTGTGCTGCAAACCCAACCAGTGCCCCCCATGTGGGGAAGGAGGAGGAAGGGGGGGGTTGCTGTGAAATCCCACAAATCCCACGTCTCCCCAGCACTGCTGGAGGTGTGTCAGGGTATGATGCTCATTGCAGAACGACCACGGGAATGCTGAAATCAGGGACCCCCAGGATGGTAACACCCATCGCCTGGGGACATCAGCCCCTTGTCTGTGCACTGCAGCACCCCACAGGGACAGGAGCACCCCATAGGGATGGCCAGCATCACATAGGAACATCCAGCACCCCATAAGGACAGCCAGCACCCCATAGGGACAACCAACACCCCATAGGGACAGCCAGAACCCCATCGGGACAGCCAGCATCCCACAGAGACAGCCAACACCCCATCGGGACAGCCAGAACCCCATAGAGACAGCCAGCACCCAATTGGGACAGCCAGCACCCCAAAAAGACAGCCAGCACCCCATAGGGACAGCCAGAACCTCATAGAGATAGCCAGCACCCCATTGGGACAGCCAGTACCCCATAGGGATAGCCAGCACCCCATAGAGATAGCCAGCACCCCATAGGAACAGCCAGAACCCCACAGGGACAGCCAGCACCCCACAGGGACAGCACTCCACGAGGAGAGCCAGCATCCCGTAGAGACAGCCAGCACCCCATAGGGACAGCCAGCACCCCACAGGGACAGCCAGCACCCCATAGAGACAGCCAGAACCCCATAGGGACAGCCAGCACCCCACAAAGACAGCAGCATCCCATAGGGACAGCACTTTATGAAGACAGCAGCACCCCACAAGGACAGCCAGCACCCCATAGGGACAGCCAGCACCCCACAGGGATACCAGCACC